TTCCCCAATTATCACCTCTAATACCATTAACTCTCAGGCATTTACCTTCCTTCCCCTGCATCCTCCTTCTGTTCTGAAATGTGATTTGTCCTTTTCATATGTGTTCATTTTTTTTAATTGTATCTTTTGGTATATATGGTTGTGACTATTTTCTTCCACTATTTGATCTGAGGAAGTGGGTCTGGCCCACGAAAGCTCATCATCTAATAAACCATCTTGTTAGTCTTTAAAGTGCTACATTGTCCTGCATTTTACTTCAGCTACCCCAGACGAACACGGCTACATTTCTATCACTATTCTGTATGTAGGAGAGCAGTGTGATTGCTCAGAGCTCCAGTAAATAGAGGGGGGAAAAGCCTGTTGAGAGTCTTTGGGTTAAGTTTAGAGGCAGGAGCAACAGGGGTGATGTGGTTGGTGTCTGCTCTAGACCAGATCAGCTGCATAAGGCAGAGGAGGCTTTCTTCAGACAATTAAGAGAAGCTTCCAGATCACAGGCCCTGGTTCTCATGGGGACTTCAAACACCCTGACATCTGCTGGGAGACCAATACAGCAGGACACAGACACTCCAGGAAGCTTTTGGAGACTGTTGGGGATAACTTCTTGGTACAAGTGCTAAGGGAACTGACCAGGGGCTCTGTGCAGCTTGACCTGCTGCTCACAAACAGGGAGGAATTAGCAGGGGAAGTGGATGTGGGTGACAACCTGGGCAGCAGTGATCATGAGATGGTCGAGGTCAGGATCCTGACCAAAGGAAGTAAGGAGAGCAGCAAAACACACACCCTGGACTTCAGAAAAGCAGCCTTTGACTCCCTCGGGGAGTGGGGGGGGACAAAAAGATCTCACAAAACTAAGTGATTGGGCAACAAAATGGCAAATGAAATGTAATGTGGAGAAATGTAAAGTAATGCACATTGGAAAAAATAATCCCAACTATCCATATAATATGAGGGGGGCTAATTTAGCTACAACTAATCAGGAAAGAGATCTTGGAGTCATCGTGGATAGTTCTCTGAAGACGTCCACGCAGTGTGCAGCAACAATCAAAAAAGCAAACAGGATGTTAGGAATGATTAAAAAAGGGATACAGAATAAGACGAAGAATATCTTATTGCCCTTATATAAATCTATGGTACGCCCACATCTTGAATACTGAGTACAGATGTGGTCTCCTCATCTCAAAAAATATATACTGGCATTAAAAAAGGTTCAGAGAAGGGCAACTAAAATGATTAGGAGTTTGGAATGGGTCCCATATGAGGAGAGATTAAAGAGACTAGGACTTTTCAGCTTGGAGAAGAGGAGACTAAGGGGGGATATGATAGAGGTCTATAAAATTATGAGTGGTGCGGAGAAAGTGAACAAGGAAAAGTTATTTACTTGTTCCCATAATATAAGAACTGGGGGCACCAAATGAAACTAATGGGCAGCAGGTTTAAAACAAAAAGAAGGAAGTTCTTCACACACGGCATAGTCAATCTGTGGAACTCCTTGCCTGAGGAGGTTGTGAAGGCCAGGACTATAACCAGGTTTAAAAGAGAACTAGATAAATTCATGGAGGTTAAGTCCATTAATGGCTATTAGCCAGGATGGGTAAGGAATGGTGTCCCTAGCCTCTGTTTGTCAGAGGGTGGAGATGGATGGCAGGAGAGAGATCGCTTGATCAGTCCCTGTTCAGTTCACTCCCGCTGGGACACCTGGCATTGGCCACTGTGGGCAGACAGAGTACTGGGCTGGATACCTTTGATCTGACCATTCTTATGTTCTTATGACTGATGGGCAGGATCCCCTGGGATGCTAACATGAAGGGGAAAGGAGCCCAGGAGAGCTGGCAGTATTTTAAAGAAGCCTTATAGAAGGCCGCAGAACAAACCATCTCAATGTGGAGTAAGAAAAGCAACTATGGTAGGCGACCAGCTTGGCTTAGCGGGGAAATCCTTGGTGAGCTTAAACACAAAAAGGAAATTTACAAGCAGTGGAATCTTGGCCAGGTGACCAGGGAGGAGTATAAACATATTGCTCAAGAGTGCAGGGGAGTAATCAGGAAGGTGAAAGCACAATTGGAATTGCAGCTAGCAAGGGATGTGAAGGGGAACATGGAAGTTTTCTACAGGCAAGTCAGCAATAAGAGGGTGATCAGGGAGGATGCGGGGCCCTTACTGGACAGACAGCAGCCACACAAAGCAACTACTGACCTGATGCCCTGCCAGAACCAGTTTCAGCTGCCCTTAAATGCCCCCCTGCGTCCAATCAGTGTGAATGTGCTAGTTCGAATTAGCAAAACGCTAATTCGAACTAGTTTTTAGTTCTAGATGCGCTAGTTCGAATTAGTTTAGTTCGAATTAACTAATTTGAACTAAGTTAGTTCGAATTAGCGCTGTAGTGTAGACATACCCTATGAGTGTATGAGTAATATGGGGAAGATGGTAGAAGTTATATACCTTGACTTTAGGACAGCTTTTGATAAGGTCTACCATGGTATTTTTGCCCAGGAAGTTAAGGAAGTACGGACTGGATAAATGGACTGTAAATTGGATAGAAAGCTGTCTGGATTATTGGGCTCATCAGGTAGTGATCAACAGCTCAATGTCTGGTTGGCAGTCAGTGTCAACTGGAGTTTTCCAGAGGCTGGCTCTATAGCCAGTTTTGCTCAACAGCTTTATTAATGACCTCGATGACGGGATGGATTGCATCCTCAGCATGTGTGCATGTGACACTAAGCTAGGGAGAGAGTCATGTGCATTGGAGGGTAAGGATAAGGTCCACAGTGACCTAGACATATTACAGGATTGGGCCAACATAAATCTGATGCATTTCAGATCTAAGCAGCATTTCAGCAGACAAGGAACTGGGGATTATAGTGGATGAGAAACTGGATATGAATCAACAAGATGACCTTGTAGTCAAAAAGGCTAATGGCATATTAGGGTGCATCAGAAGGAGCATTGCCAGCAGATCCAGAGAAGTGATCATTCCCCTTTATTCGGCATTGGTGAGGCCACTGGAGTACTGCGTCCAGTTCTGGGCCCCCCACTATAGACAGGATGTGGACGCACTGGAGAGGGTCCAGCGGAGGGCACCCACAATGATGAGGGGGCTGGAGAGCATGACCTACGAGGAGAGGCTGAGGGATTTGGGCTTGTTTAGTCTGCAGAAGAGAAGAGCGAGGGGGGATTTGAGAGCAGCTTTCAGCTACCTGAAGGGAGGTTCCAAAGAGGATGGAGAGAGGCTGTTCACAGTGGTGACAGAAGGAGCAATGCTCTCAAGTTACAGTGGGGGAGATCTAGTTTGGAGATTAGGAAAAACTATTTCCCTAGGAGGGTGGGGAAGCACTGGAATGGGTTCCCTAGGGAGGGGATGGAAGCTCCATCCCTAGAGGTTTTTAAGTCTCAGCTTGACAAAGCCCTGGCTAGCTTGATTGAGTGGGGGTTGGTCCTGCCTTGGGCAGGGGGGCTGGACTTGGCAATCTCTTGAGGTCTCTTCCAGCCCTGGGATTCTGAGTCTATGATTCTAGCGCCCTCTATGATTGAGGGGGGGTTGGTCCTGCCTTGGGCAGGGGGGCTGGACTTGGCAATCTCTTGAGGTCTCTTCCAGCCCTGGGATTCTGAGTCTATGATTCTAGCGCCCTCTAGAGGAGAGCGGCCCCATGACCTATTTCCTGCCTTCTGCCCCCCAGCCATTCCCACCTCCAAAAATCAAACTAAAGGATCAAACACCTGGGTGTAGGAGACATGGGGGGGGGCATCCCCACCCAATCCGTGGCCCCTCAAATACTCAGCACAAAGTGGCCGAGGCAGGGAGCTGGGCTGGGAACGGGGAGCAGGGGGCTCTCCCTGGAGGTCCTGACATGGGACTAGAAGCAGGCAGCAGGTTGGTACCCGGGCTCCAGGGGATGATGGTTGGGTAGCAACAGGCACCTGCCCATCCCCCACTGAACAATGGGAAAGGGAGGGGATCCACAGGTGGCCCCAGGTGGGAGGGGGCAGCAAACCCCCACTGCATC